GTTTGAGTTCCCAAAACAACACGCCAACACAGAATTTATGCTAAGATGGGTTCAGAGAGGTGAGTTCAAAAGGAAGAATTTCGAAGAAAAGGAGGTTATAGAATACCCTGCCACCAGGTAAACAAACAGTAAATATAAGACAGTAAAAGAAAATGAGTTATTTAAAAGTGCTCTCGATAGACAGTGAGCCTAATTTAAATTTTCCTATGTGCCTGAAAGTAATAAATCTGAATAGAAGCAATCAACTATCCAAATGGAAGGTACCCTAGTGGTAATCAAATTAGACTCCATAAATTTAAAGATGAGGAAACCAAAACCTTACTTGTCCATGATCTAAAGGTTGAGTACTTCTAAGTAGTGTGAAACAGTGATAAAGTCAGAACCAAAACTAAGATACTCTGAATCCCAGGGCAGATCTGTTTCCACTATCCTTTTCAATACTTAATTGAAATTGTTCAGACTTGCTTTTGTCCTGGAGTTCTAATTAAAAATAGCTTGCTGTATACAGAAATGTGCACCAATTATAAGAATGAGTCCAGCGTCTCCTGGGAGGCTCAGTCGGTTAAGCGTCTGACTTCGGCTCAGATCATGATCTCGTGGTCCGTGAGTTCCAGCCCCGCACCCGGCTCTGTGCTGACAGCTCAGAGCCTGGAGCCTGCTTCAGATTCTGTGTCTCCCTCTCTCTGACTCTCCCCCCGCTCATGCCTCTGCCTCTCTCTACTTCTCTCAAAAAGCAAATAAACATTAAAAAAATTTTAAAAAATGAATCCAACATTTCCTAAAATCAATACTCACGTGTCTACTCTATCACTATTCATTTTTTTTGGGGGGGGTGGAATTCAGATAGATCAGTAATGAGAGTTAAAGTAAGAATTTGCCTCAGGGGAAAGGGTTATGAAAAATAATCAAAATAAATGCTATGGTTTTAAAATGCCCAACTGTACGAGGAGTAGGTCTTACCAGAATTAGATATCTATCTGCATCTATTCATAGCATAGATATGGCAAATGTAACTGAAGGAGGCTATTTTTGCTTGATTTTTATCAAAAAGTTGTCTCGATTTTAGGAGAGTAAACTAGTATCACAGGGTTGGAAGAGACTTAATGTTCCAAACTCTACATCTTACATTTGAAGAAACTGGGGTCAAAGGACACAATATGATTTGGCTGAGGTTTTGGACAGGGATAATTTGGGGAAGATGAGTGTTTATTATCAAATGAAAGGTAACTACTAGAGAAAGAGGATGGAAGGCATGGAGACTACATAAGAGATCTTGTATGAGAGAAGAACCATTTCTATCCTGTCTGTAACTGAGACAATAATCATGCACGGTGCAGTTTACCTTTAAAAAAAAATCATACACAGAAATAAGGACTATTAAAAAAATCCTAATACGAGTATCTTTAGTGTAGTTTTAATTTGCTTTTCCCTAAATGCTAATGGTATTGAATATCTTTTCAGATGCTTACTTGGGTCCACTTATATATCTTCTTTGGTGGAGTGTCTATTCAGATCTTTTATTTTAAATTGGGTCATTTCTTTTCTTTTATTGAATTTTAAGAGTTCTTTATATATTCTAGACAAAATCCTTTATCAGATATATTTTACAAATATTTTCTCTTATTCCTTGGCTTTTATTTTGCTTAATCTCTTTTGAAAATGAATTATTTTATTTTTCATTTTTTTGAAAACCAATCATTTTAGATTTGGCACTCTTTTCTATTATGGCTCATGCGTTTTACAGTCAATCTAAGAAATCTTGGCTTAACCCAAAGTCTTAAAGATTTTCTATTATACGTTCTTTTAAAATAATATAGTTTTAGGTCTTACATTTATATTTATGGCCCATTTTGAGTTGATTTTTGAATATGGCACCACAGATATAGTTCATACAGGTATCCAATTTGTATAGTACCATTTATTGAAAGGCCTACCCATTCCTCATTGAGTTTCTGAGCATAAATATTGAATATCAATTGACTATGTATTTGTGAGCCTTTTTTATTTTTTTTAATTTTTTTAGTGTTTATTTATTTTTGAGAGAGACAGCATGAGGGGGGGAGGAGCAGAGAGAGCGGGAGACACAAAATCCAAAGCAGGCCCCAGGCTCTGAGCTGTCAGCACAGAGTCCCATGCAGGGCTGAAACCCACAAACCAGGAGATCATGACCAGAGTCAAAGTCAGACCGACTGAGCCAGCCAGGCGCCCAATGCGAGCCTATTTCTAAGCTCTATTCTATTCCATTGATCTATATATCAATACTTAAACTAATACCGCCCTTTCTTGATTATTATACATTTAGAATAAGTTTTGAAATAAAGGAGTACTATAAATCTTCCAACTTTATTTCTGCTTTTCAATTTTGCTATTCTATACCCTCTGCAGTTTCATGAAAATTTTACAATTCGCTTGTTAATTTTTCTCTTTTTTAAACAAGAGACTGCTGACATTTTCACTGGGATTGTCTTGAAGTTTTGTAACAGTTTAGGAAAAACTAACATCCCTACAATGCTGAGTATTCCAATACCATAAATATGGCATGCGATTCCATTTACTTAAATCTTTAATTTCTTTCAGCAGTGTTTTATAGGTTTTAGTATACAGTTCTTGCACATATTTTGTTACACTTGACTCTAAATATTTCATGGTTTTGATGCTGTTGTAAATATTACTGTTTCTTTTTTTAGTTTCTAATTGCTCATTGTTACTCTGTAGAAATACAATTGATAGTTTAATGTTAACTGTATATTTTCTCACCTTATAAAAATCTATTCGTTTTAGTAGCTTTTTTGGTAGATTGTGTAGGATTTCCTACATAGACAGTCATGTTGTCTGTGAATAAAGACCACCCATTCCGGCTATTTTGAACTTTTATTACAGGCTCATTCTTCTTTATCTGGCATGTTCTATCTTGCCACCAAGGCCTTATTTTCATTTTTGTTTTAGACCCCCTTTCCTACAATCTTTACCAAGTGAAGGCTTATTCAGGCGTCAGATCTCAGATCAAATGTACCTTCCTCAGGGAAGTTTTCTCTAAGAGAAGTCTCTATGTTATCCCTTTCCTTCAGTTATTCTTTCATTAATCCAGCCAACAAATATTAAGTGCCTACTATTAAATGCCTACCACGTGCCTTCATTCTTTCATAGTACCATCTATCTTTGCTTCCTAGCATTTACCATTATTTGAACTTTACATTTATCCCCATAATTATTTGGCTACTTTCTCCTTCCTGTAGATTGTAAGCTTCATGAGAACAAGAACCATGATTGCTTTTTGTTTTGCTTTGACGTCCATGCCTAGCTTAAAGTTTGTAACATGACAGGTACTCATTAAGTATTTACAGAATAAATAAGTGAGCCAAAACAAAATACCTGTCCAGAGGGTAGAGGAAATATTTGGAGTTGGGTTGAATTGCTTAATGCTATTCAACACACACTGTTGTTCAAAAGGCTGTTTACTGACTCTATAACAATAATTCAATCTGTATGTACATGAAAATGTATCAGAAACTTTTTTAAATGTAATTTTAAGGAAGTTCTATGAGATGAATTGGGACGTTGAGTTGTAGACAGCATGAGGAGTTAATGTTTAAATTCACAAGTAACATAATTGCATAAAAACAGATGCTACAAGCTCATATTAGATTAAATAGTAATTTAATATTTTGTCAGATGAAAAAATTTAATCCCACAGACCACTAGATGTCCTTAAAATTATACTTGTACCTTTTCTAATTCATGAGTCATTAGGATCTAATTAACTAAAATAAACAGGCAAATGCAATAAACCTGAAATGACTTACTCAACAAGGTCTCAAATTTATAGTAAATAACTTGGTTTTGTTCCATTTGAGAGAATATTAAATAAAATAAGCTTAACTTTATCTTTGGAACAAGATTCCAATCCTTAAATCTGACCATGGATTCTCTCTCCCTCCCTCCCTCTCTCTCTTTTTTTTAATGCAAGACAAATTACTCACACATGAACAAGTTTAATTTGAAAGGCATTTGTTTTTCAAGTGGTATTAAACCACTCCAGCCATAATTTACTGAGTAGTTTTATCTTATCTTTACTTGTACATACACTGAGCACCTTAACTCACGTGCAAATAAGTACTTCATCACATTTTACTAATGCTTTAGGCACATTTATTTTCCCGTTACATTGATCAAAGGTATCTCTAACAGAAAGAGAAAAAAGTAATAGGCATCTCTGAGGAATCACTTTTCTTTTACGTGCATCTCAATATTAACACTTATTAATGCAAAAGAAATCATTGTGTTGGTTTATTAGGCACCGATAGAAGTAGCCTTATTATCTTTACCTGACATTTCAATAACAGAATGCCAGTTCAAATGCCATAGAAGTTTGAAAGCAGTGACTGAGAAAAGTACATTGTTTACCTGAAAATCATTGTTTATTTCAAGATATTATGTTCTTCTCAAGCATGGGGTAGATGATGTGTGCAGTAGAACGCGTGACTATCACATTCAAGAACATTTTAAATTCGATTAGGTATGAAATCTATATGGCTATCCGTATCATACGTCATTGATCTACTTCAAAAATGCAGGCTATAGAAAAGATGTAATATATATTTTGAAAGTGAACAGATCCTAAAAGTTACTCAAGCCAGTCTCCTGAAAAATGCAAAAAAGAAAAGCTTTATGTGTGTCAAACCACTATACTTGCATTTTTATTATCATAACATATCATACAATTTGAATTATAAAATTCAAACAAGCATTCTAAGAATCCCCAAATATGAATATGTTACTTCATTCCAAGCAAAAATAAGAGTAAAAAACATAAGGGTTTTTTTTGGTGAAAAAAATCAGGATTTATTGTTTTTATTTTCAATTAAAATGTCAAATGCAAGAAATCACATGGCAGGGAGTGAGTTGAAGAAAACACAGGTGCCTAATTCACAAGCTACAAAAACAGTATAAAGGTGACCATCTGGGGAGAGCTGGCTGACTTAATTTTCCTATGAGCTTACCGTCTGCTCGATATTTTTCTTCCAAACTCCACATCCTGACCTTGAAAATGCATTTACATGTTTTCCTACATCAATTTCTTTCTGATCATAAATGCAGGGAGACCCAATTACATAAAGGATATTCATACAACAAAGGACATAGTGCGTTATATTTCATTTAATTTCAGATTTCTGAATTTTTTAAAGGTTTTGTTTCAGGTGGTGGCGCTCTGTCAGCTTTTCTGCCAGTCAGTAAATTCCTACACTTTCCCTGATACACCTGCAATTGCTGACATGCACGGTTCTAAGGACAAATGCTTCTTTGAGAACGATGGCTCTCCAGAAAGCCCAGAACGTAGACTTCTGAGCATGTCAAGGAGAGGAGACAGGAACCTAGTACTGTAATCCTGATGTGGATACCACTGATGGATCGCCATCAATACTTACAGGAAAGATGACAAAAAGAGTGAGGAATTCCTGACTTGTCACAAAACACTGAGTGCCCAAGTATGCTGAGTATGTTAGGATTTCTGAAGGAGGCATCACACTTTCCTGCCATGGTGAATTAATATGCTGAGCAGAAAAACATTTTTTACATTGGTTGTTTTTTTTTTTTTATATTTCAGTCTGAACATTGAAAATGATGCAGTCATATACTAAAAAAAAGTATTTATTTTAAAGTACTTGTTGCCATATCTCTTCTAAAACTAGTCTTTTTTGCTCTACCCTGCAGTTTTCCTGGAAAAAAAAAATAGCAGCAGCTATTATTTCTTCAATATCCTTAATTCATGCTCTAATCATTCCCATTATTCTCCAGGTGTCTGTGCTTCTGAAATCTTTCCAGTCTTGAACCCTTCCCAGGTCAAAGCCCTGGTTTATACTTTGTTGTTCCCCCAGCATCTCAAAGCTTGTTAAGTGCTAAGCTAAACTCATTCAGCTTTGGGGACCAAGATGTTTCTCTTCTGGCTTTTTCCTTTCCCTATTTTCACCACCTATTAGTCAATAAGGCATGCTCATTATTGTCTCTTCCTTCCTTCCCATTCCTATAATTCCTCCTCAAGTTCAGGTTGGGTCATCCAGATCACAGTGATAATACAGCCCCAAACTGTCAAACTGTTCCAAAGAAAAATGGAGTTCTTGAACAAAGAGTTCTATGATGTGCATTCGACTTGGGAGATTCACAAAGCCCGTCAGAGACTACAGTAAAGAAACATCTTTAAATCTGTTTAATCCAGTGTTTGGAAACCTGGTATTTCCTTATTTGTTTCACCATGGAACTTTTAATTTTTTTTTTTTTAATTTTTTTTTTTCAACGTTTATTTATTTTTGGGACAGAGAGAGACAGAGCATGAACGGGGGAGGGGCAGAGAGAGAGGGAGACACAGAATCGGAAACAGGCTCCAGGCTCTGAGCCATCAGCCCAGAGCCTGACGCGGGGCTCGAACTCCCGGACCACGAGATCGTGACCTGGCTGAAGTCGGACGCTTAACCGACTGCGCCACCCAGGCGCCCACCATGGAACTTTTTCAAGGAGCATCCAATAAAATCTCTCAGAGTTGTGTTTGTAAAACACTGCTCTTCTCCATACATTTCAATCCTGCAGCCAATTTTCATATTAGTTAATAAATACACAGCTCAGATCATTTCACTTCCCTGCTTAAAACTTTCAAACACTCTTGACTATCCATCAAACAAAGCTAAGCACCCCTATCTATCTGCACCTAGATATTTCATCTTATCTTTTGTGACTTCATTCATTTCTGTAGTTTCCTAGATGTCAGGCTTTCCTAGATGTCAGATCTATAGTACAACAATTGACCATTCTCATATAAAATAAATGCGTTTCATTAAATAAATGTGTACCATCACTTAGCAATAAATCAACCTTTCACATACAACTACTGTACTCCTTAAAGACTCTCCAAACCTAAATCAAAGTCTACTTTATTGAAGAAAAATAGATTTACTTTCTTTTCTCCATGGTTTGAAAAACTCTGCTACAGATAATTAAAGCTACCTGTCCTGAATATTTTAAGCAAATTAATCTGTCACATTGCATGGTTTTTCCGAAATAAAGGTGGTATGCAGTGTTCGCACAATTAAGTCAGCTGGAGAATTGGGGAGTAAATGTGGAATAATCATATTATCTGTGATCACTTCATTTTTTTTTTTTACCACTGTCAAAATACATATTCTGAAAAAGCAGCATCAATTGAAAATATTTCTAAACGATAACAAATTTGGGGTTGCGATTTCAGCGACATTGTACCTGTCTGCTTGTACTTCTACATCTCACTTAGGTCAGGTATTATGGTAAGCAAAAAGGAGTAAACAAGATGGACATAACCGTTAACCACAACGTACGGTTCTTACCATTCTTACAGACACAGGCACTGTAAGCACGTTGAGTATTATCTCTTCCTTCAACTACTCTATGATGTGTCTGCTACTTCTGAAAGCAAAAGTTCTCCAAAAAATAATTCACTCTGTCTTTAAAATATCTGCTTCCATTCCCTGTCGTAGTTGTTCCAATGAAGCCTTCACCTGTTTTTCACCAAAATGTCAGAACCACCAATGGCATCCACACGGGTAGACACAATGGTCAATTTCCAAATGGCATCTCCCCTCACCTAGTATCATTTCACACAAATAATCCTTGTCATCTTCCTAAACACCTTTTCTTGAACTCTGATCACCATCTTCTTTTGGTTTTCCTCCCCAGCTGGTGCTGATGCCTCATCTTCTCCACCCTTAAATGTTGGAGTTGCCCAGAGCCGAGTCAACAACCTTCATCTTTTCATCCTCCAGATGGATTTAAATGCTATCTATATGTTAATAATTCCCCTATTCACATTTCCATCCTGAACTTTTCCCTTTAGTTCCAGAATTTTATATACAGCTGCCAACTCAAACTCTTCATTTGTGTGTCCAAATTTACACTCCTCCCGGAATAACCTCTTCTGCTCTGCTCTTCTGTTGTCTTTCCAATCTCAGTAAATTGAAGCCTCACTCTTTCCAGATACTCAGGCCAGAGGCCTGATTCATCCTCGCCTACTTGGTTTCTCTCACACTCTCCATTCAATCTCTCATCAAATCCTGCTGGCTCAACGTTCCAATCTATTCAGAATTTGACCACCTATCACAGTTTTTACTACCAGATCCCAAACACCATCATCTCTGTTCTAGATCCTTTTCATTACTTTCTAACTAATCTCCCTGTCTACTCTTTACCCTCTATGGTTAACATAGCAGAGACCTTGTTCGAACTAAAATCCCTCCCGTGGCTTTGATACCTTAGGGATAAAAACCAAAGCCCTAAAATAGCAAGCCTCAGCCTCAGCCAGTCCGTGGGCGCAGTGGCCTCCCTCCAGTGCTTGGCTCATCTCCAGGAAAACTTACATGCCCTCTTCCAGGAGGTGGCCAACGTGGCCCTCAGCAGCCACAGTCGTAGGGACTGGGCTGTGTGGGTCCCTCCCTACAATGACCGTCCGAGCAGCACGTAAAGGAGGTGGGTGATGCTGACCTTCTGCTGCGTTGGCTGAGCTGGACCCAGTCCCAGGCTGTGACCACCGAACTGTACCTCAAACGGATTCCAGAACTGGGGACCGGGATCCCTTAAGTGGAGCGAACCCCCTCTGAGGTTTGAGGAAAGGAGTTTAGGCCCACCAGCCTTGTAGAGGGCTGGTCCTGGAGTCCCCTAGAATCACTGGCGGCCTCCCATCTCCCAGCCGGGGGCCGCACATTCTCAAGCGGCCAGTGCAGCCTGGCGCCATCTCGCGGCTGGTCCTGGGGCTACACCTTCAACGCGGGGTGCTCCTTTGACCATGTGCAAGGCAGAAGCCACACCCATCCCCTTCCCCCTCGGCCAAGCCCATCCCCGTGGTTGATAAAACATCACTAAAAACAAACAAACAAACAAGTCCCTCTCTGACTTCATCTTGTTCACCCTTCCCCTTGTTCACCGTGCTCCAACCACACTGGACTCATTGCTGTCCCACAATACTTTTAGAACATTAGTGCCTCAAGGCATTTACCCTTACTTTTCCCTGTAACTGGACCACTTTCCCCCAGTAGTCCTCAGGGCCAATGCCTCATTCTCTTTAAAAACATCTAATGCATGAGGACCTCCGTGGTCTCCTATGTAAAGGAGCCACTCCTAGTTCCTCGGCTCTCTCATTCCCCCTTAGCTTGCTTCATGTTTCCTCAGGTTACTTACAATTAAATGCAATACTGTGTATTTACTTGTTTACGTACTTCTTGTCTGTCCCTTCCCACCCCAACCTCACTGGAATATAAACTTCATAAGACTTGGGATGATCTGTTGTTTTGGACTGCATTCCCAGGGCCTAGGAAGGCATTGGGACATAGCAAGCACACAAAAACCATCTGTTAAGTGAATGATTGAGTGATAACCGGGCATTATAAGGTGCTCTGGAAGCATAAAACAGGGATGGAAACAAGGCTGAGAGAACAAGAAAAGATTTCTTGCCAGGAAAAGGGATGAGGTAGACAGGAAGAACTTTCCCACAAAGCACAACATTGCCAAGACCTTGAGTTTATCTGTTCATTCAACAACTATTTATTAAACACCTACAATGTACCGGACTGTTCCAGGCATTGGGGACGTAGAGCAAAAGGGAAAGGTCGTGCAGAATAAAATATTTGGCATATGCTCAATTAATAAAATTAAGAACATATAAAACATAGCAAGAATGTTGGACAAAGGGAAGTCACCGAAGAGTTTAACGCTAGGGATGGCATGACCAGATTAATACTCAGAAAACCAAAACCGAACATAAGGCTCACCCCCAGTACCTGGCTTGTTTAATATGTAACCCACAAGAACTTCCTTTCAGATTCCCCAATAATTTCTAATTGAGCCTATAACATCAGATAAAGTGAAAAGGTTCCTATGTAAGTAATTTTTTTCCTGTATGTGAATGCACAATAATGGTCTTATAAGTAAAAGTTTTCAAATTTTTCAGAACTTTAATATCATTTAATGTCATTTTATTTTTAAAACAATCTTCTTTCAGTATTCTTTTCTCATATTTT